AGCGCAAGCGCTTTCCCCCCAAGCTAAAAAAAACATTGTCCTCAATGCATAAAAGGAGAAAGACACTTCAATTTTTTTTTTGTTTTTTTTGTTTTTTTTTTTTGTTTTTTTTGTTTTTTTTTAATTTTCTCATTAACAAAATTGTTTGAATTTCCTTGAACTCCTTAAAAGCATTAGTCCTTGCCCATTTTTTACTAAGGACGGGTTTTACATAAGCATTTGCCATTATTTACTAAATATAAACAACTCAATTATGTGTACCAATTCGAACCAAACCCCAACTTCATAGACCACAATCACCAAACATTGACCCTTGCTTCACAAAAACCAAAAAGAAGGAGAACGAAACAAAAGGCTCAAGATATCTAATTATGCGGCTTGAAAAAAGGGAAAAGGGTTCAAAGGGGTAACAAGTAGACAAATGTATCCCAAACCAAAAAGTGACTATCCTAGAAAGAGAAAATTACCTCCCCGAAAAACTTGCCTTTGTCCTCCGTAGGTAGTTCGGTCACGGTCTTAGGAATCATACGCTAAGATTCTAGATTAGGTTTGCGAAAATCAAGGATCCATGCCGCTCATGCAAGAGTATGATGAAAGCTTGAACAAATATATAAATCTCACATGGTTGTAGCAAAGACTCACTAAGGGTGTCAAATCAAAGATAGGGAGCAACTACCAACATGCCACAAACGAGTAGAATCCGGTTTCATGACCCCCCTAGTTCTAGACAACTATCTTAGCATGCTTTATCCTAGAATCAACCAAACGTAATCTCAAACCGTGCATACCATTATTACCTAAGAAGACCATTATTCAAAAGAAAAAGGCCAGTGCATACAAGTCCAATTTTTAAAAAGAGAAAGAGTGAAAATAAAGCCTCAAAAAGTTATGCACACAAACAAGATTAAAAGAAAAGGAAAGAAAAGAAAAGAAAAGAATGGGAAACTTAGACAAGGACAAGAAAGGGAAAGAGGAAAAGAGCAAAGATGCAATCATAACACGTTTATCCCAATCGACATACAAGCGGTCTAATGGCCACATCGCCAAAGACCCCAAACACACTAGGTGTTAAAATCATACATACTCGAACCGTTCAACTTCTCCTAAATCTAATCTTAATCTAAGCAACCAAGAAAATGAAGAAGTGAAAATAAAAAGGTAAAATAAGAAAGGTCTCACCAAGCATCCGCTCTAAATTAAAGTACCCAAGGAGTAGGAATGTGCATCTCTAAAAGGTTCTGCAATCCAAAGCATAGGCTACGAGCAAGGTGAGTTAAAGAAAAAGGCTATATATACAAAATGAAATTGTTAGTAACTTCCAAACAAAAGCAACCAATAAAACACTTAGATACAAATTATATACAAAGACCTAGAGAAACCATCATCATTAAATTTCTATTTTTTTTTTTTTTTTTTTTTTTTTTTTCGTCTCAAGAAACTCCCAAAAACATCAAGAAATGAACCAAAACAACAAGCAACAGACCAACGAGACCATTAGCAAAAATCCACCAAAAGCCTTATCAAAGACTTCCCACCGAGCCCCAGGTGCTTCCCCAAACCAACATAAAACATCCTTTTTGGCCCTCCCCCCTCACAAAATGAAGGCATCGGCCGCGATGCCTATAATCATGAAAAATAGGGAAAGGGGAGAACAAAAAAGGGAACAAACATGCATAAGGGGACTATTAACCACTAGGTCCGGCACCATCATCACCCGTATCCCAACCTCCGGTGTAACCGGGAGGAAAACCATAGTGACCCTGGAATAGGTCAAGTTGGGATCGGGTTAATTGGTCATAGGGCTCAGGCTGAACAAGGGGCTCGAGGTGATGGGGGTGAACATAGTAATATGCGGGATCACCCCGATAATCACTCCCCCCCGAGACCCTATAATCATAAGGTGGGAAATCGCGCCTTGGCACATCGGGGTCCTCCACCCCAGGCCAATATGGGTACGTAGGGAGGTTGTTACCACTCCATGAAGATACCGGCCCTTGTTGGGGTGGCACATAAGGGTAGTTGACCGGAGGTGTGACCTCCCCCCTACGCACACTAGCGTCATACAATGCGCTAGTTTGATAAGACAAAGTTTGGTGGTCCGAGTACATACCTTGCACGCGCTCCATTTGGTCTCTCATGGCCTCCATCTCTCGGAGATAAGCATCCCCTTGGAAACCCTGTTGTTGTTGTTGTCGTCTTCTTTCTCTTCTTCTTCCTTGAGCATCATCATGAAAATGCTCATGTTGTTGTTGTAGTGGCGGTTGTTGTTGCTCTTCATCATATTCATCACCTCCTCCTTCCTCCTCTTCTTCATCATTCTCATCACCCCCATCAATCTCATCATCCTCCTCCATCTCATCCTCAATCCTCCCATTGTCCCTAGGGACCATCCAAATGTTCCTAGCCTCACGAAGGATGGAGGTGGCGGCCGGGTTAGGGAGAAGGCAATGGTGGGTATTTCTCACTAGCCAAGAGTAGGTGCCGGTTCTCCTAGTGCTAGTTATGAAACATAAAGTGTTAACTTGCTTCAAACTAATCCACACGTCTTCACTCCTTCCAACCGGAGTGCAAGATTTCAAGAACCCCTCTTGCTTAAAATACGACACAAGACGTGTCACCATGCCCCCACAATGAATTTCCCCCGTTTTGACCCCATGCATTATATCCTTGCAACAATTCATGAAGATATAGCCAAAATTAATCCTTGACCCTAACTCCGGCTTGGAAGCTATCCATAACACCAAAATCTCCTCCCTAGACAACTTCCCCAAATCTAGCTTATTAAAAACCGAATACCCAAGAATTCTATGAAGGATCCTAAGGGCCGGATGGATAATCTCACTAGCAAGAGACTTTTTCGAATCAAACTCCCTCTTGTTGGCTATGGTTCTCCACCAAGAAACCTCATTATACTCAGATTGGACAAGGGAGATAAGGGGCTCGAAGATATCACCATTGGGGTTGAAACCAAGGGCTACATTGAACTCAGCTAGGTTCATGGTGTGTTTGACATTGAAGAGTTGGAAGGAAATAATAAAATCGGTTTCCCCCACCTTATTGAACTCAAATGTGGAGAAAAATTCAATGGAAGGCTCCAAATAGGTTATAGGGGCCGATTTTAGAAACTCACCCAAGCTAAGGTTATCTAGGAGGATGTCAAGGTCATTTTCAATTCCTAACTTGGCCATATCCTCACGAAAGTAATGCCGGGAGGGTCTAAACTTCCGGTCTTTCATTTTGTTATAGATGGGGGTTTGTTTAGACCGGTTCCAAAATTTTAGAGGGGGTAAAGGAGGAGGAGGAGCATCATCTTGAGTTGTGGAATGCGGTTGGGGTTGAGGGTTTGAGGAGTGGCCTTGAGAAGATTGGCCGGGGGATTGGTTTGAGCGCTTCTTTCTACTTTTGACTCTTCTTATCAAATCCATTTTAACAAAATTCACACAAGTCACAAGAACACAACAAACTCCCTCAAACAAATCAACTT